TGGACGGCTCCCTTTCTCACGACACCCCCATCACTAAACTTCCCACTCTGCTGGCCTCTCCCTGTACAGTGGGGAAAACACACACACATACACACACACATTCACACAATAAAAACAGGCCTCTCAGTTCAGACAGTGGAAGTTGATGAGATTCTTTTGTATTTCGACTTCGCAAAGACGACCCATAGTTTCCCATGCTTTCATAACCTACAGGAGCAACTCAAAGAAGCAAATATGGATGTTAAATCAGGCCTTTGTTCTATATGACCTGAGGGTTATTCTTGTATTTAAGATTTATTTCAAAGGCAGAGTGAAACAGACACACACACACACACACACACACACTCTTAGGGGATCTTTCATCCATTGATTCACTCCCCAAATGACTGCAGGGGGCTAAAGCCAGGATTCAAACAGGCCCTCTGAAATGGGATGTGAGTGTCCAAGTGGCGGCTGAACCGGCTCTACCACAGCGCCCTCCCCTGAGGGACATTCCTAAGTGCAAGCAGATGCCACATTACGATCCAGAATGGACGACTTCTTGCTGCTTGTCTAGTAAGTTAGAAGAACACTGTTGTGAAATTCATATGGATTCATAATTTTCCAGTTATTTTTTCATCAGTTATCAAATTATCTGGTGACTTACTGAACAGCTTGTTCTGTGTTTGTCATTTTAGAACAATGATCAACAATGATTAATTACTTGACCTATGTATTTTTTTTTTTTTACCAGCAAGCACTTGAAAGAATGCAAACACTATCTTGGTTTCTCTACTTCTTGTAGCCACTGGAAGTTAACATGTTCACAGCCACGTGATCACTAGCATCACAGAAAGCAGAGCCTGAAATAATACCTTTTTGTATCTCTGAGATCTTTTTCTGTTGGGATATCTAACACCACTTTCCATTCTAAAGCAGGGTCAGCTGGAAGGGATCAGGATGGAGTCTGGGTTGATTTTGTTAGTTTGGGAGACGTTCCTTAGCCTCCAGGAGCCACAGTGTCAATGTCTCTGTCTCTGAGACACTGGAATGACTGCTCCTTTGTGAGGTTAAAGGAGAAGGCTTCAGAAGCAGGGGCTGAGCTGTGCTGACTGCCTCTCTCTGGGAGAGGCTGTGAAAGTTCAGGAGACTGGCTTTTTCTCCAGGTCTTCCTGGCTCCCCAGTTGATCTCTTATTGTAGAGCAAGAACCACCTCTGCTGGCAGTTCCAGTGCCCCACCAAGCACAGGTCTTTCAACAATAGCATCAGCCACGTTATACTACTTTTTCAGCCATTTTGATCAAACTACCCGGTTCACGTTCAGAGCCTCCTGGATTGACAGTGAAAAGTTTTCGTGAATGGTTGATGGCTCAAACATTCTAACAAATCATGGCAACATGGGAGGCCTCATAAATTTTTTAGGTACTAATTAATTATTCAAAATCTAAAATCTGTTGTCCTTTTGTTGAATGATTTTTACTCGGCTCAGTTCTCCTTGAAGGAAAGTTTACAAAGAAATTTTATTTATTGATCATTTTGTTTTTATCTATATCACTTTAAATCAGTTGCTGTTGTAAGCCTTATTTTGCTGTTATTTCTTTAATTATTAATTCTGAAAATATTACAACTCACGGAAAGCTCATAAACTCCTTTCCTAAATTCATTAATCACAACTGCTATGCCTTCTTATACATTTCTCTTTCCCCAAGTCTTTGAAAATAAGACCCATAATCATGGTATTTGTAAATTTTAAGATTTATTTTTTTGAAAGAGTTAGAGAGAGAGAGAGAGAGAGAATATCTTTCATCTGCCAATCCATTCCCCAGATGGACAAAATGGCCAGGGCTGGGCCAGGACAAAGCCAGGAGACAGGAGCTATCTCTGGGTCTCCCACATGGATGCAGGGGCCCAAACACTTGTGCCATCCTTTGCGGCTTTACCAAGTGCATCAACAGGAAGCTGGATTGATAATGGAGCAGCCAGGACATGAACTGGTGCCCATATGGGATGCTGCTTTCGTAGGTGGCAGCTTTACCTGCTATGCCGCAATGCTTGCCCCATCATATTCCATAACTTTTAATGTCATTCTTTATGTTGACATGACAGGCTGGCCTTTTTACTTTCTTGATCCTTGAGTCTCTCCTTTAATACAGTGAATGGTTCCCGAATCCCATCAGCCCCTTTGAGTTCAGGGCCCACCCCATCCAAGTCAGAGAGTGGACACAGATTACACATGGATAGGGATCATGGCAGGTAACCCCAGGAGAGGAAGCCACAGCTGTGGGCAAGCAGAGGGATAGTGAATGTTTGCCCAAAGATGAGTGAATGAATGAGAGAAGAATGAAAGCAAGAGAAGCAGTCCTGGGTAGGGTCATAGGGCTTCCCAGCACAGAGTGTGACCCCCTGTCTATCCCATATTAAGCCTCTTCTACTCGGGGGGAGGGATGTCACACTGTACCTGCTCCACTTCCCCTCCAATCATGCAAAACATTCCTGGGTCATGAACAAGGAAGAGACCCCCCTAAGGAGGGCCTACCTAGTCCTTGGGCCCCAGAGGACCACCAATCTACTGCCACGTGGCTGTTCATGGGCAAAAGTTACAGGGCAAGATTCCGACATCTCTGCTTAGGGAGTGCAGTGCACAGCTGAACAGGAAGGCCTGGCTGTCTCCCATTTCTCTGATTGGGAAACTGAGGCTTAGAGTCTTGTCTGGGGTCAGCAGCTTGAAAGAGCAGCTATGACAGTGCCTGTCTGACTCTGCACCCTGAACTCAAGGCACTGCTGAGGTCTCTGTGGGATTCGGGAGCCAACATCCTTCAGGGGCTGCACCCTCCCTACCTGCAGCCTTCCGAGAAGTCCGGAGTTAGAAGCACCCTCATCTCAGGCTGTGTGTCCATCGTTGCAATGGCCCTCAGCTGTCTCTGTATGGGAATAGCCCATCCATGCCAGGACCAGGAGTACTGGGAAGTGAAGGCCACAGAAACCATCCCCAAAGCATCTGGGTGTAGCCTCGTTGTTAAGGGAGTCCCAAGGTTTCTGGCTTCTCCTTGTGTTAAACCTGGCTCTGCTGCTGAGTAGACTGCAGAGAGCAGGGCCTCTAGCCTCAGTGGGGATCTCACACGCCCATGTCACTGAGTGGTCAGGACACAGTGAGAGACCCACGCAAAGACAGAGGCCTGCAGGGGCTCACCCCTCAGCTGTTCATACTCACCTCTCCCCACAACAGCCCAGGGCTTGCATCTCTGGCCTCTGCCCGCTCTGTCCCATGTGCTGGGGCAGCCTGCCTCTCTAGGACCCTACAGTTCATCAGGGCATCAGGCTGCACCACTAGTCATGGTGAGAATATCCTCAGCTCAGCTTCCTGGGGGTGGGCTCCAGCCATTAGACCCCAGGACCTGGAACTAGACATGACCATGAGCTCATGACCTTGAGATGGGGACATCGGCTGTCCTGAGTGGTGGACACTCCACTCTGTGCCCTCCCAGTGCTGGGGAGCACAGAATCCCTGGGGCCCTCCCTGCCAAGGCAGCCAAACTGAGCTGCCTGGCACTCTGCAGGACAGGCGCACCCAGTGCCACCCACTCCCTCCAGTTGGCCTGACCTGGGCCCCAGGCTGACAGGTGTGCAGGGTGCACAGGCAGCAGGTGATCTGGGACATTATCCAGAGGGACAGTCATGGGGCCAGTGCTGTCAGTGGGTGTGATCCAGGCCATTCCCAGGAACACACACAGGTCAGCATTCCAGTGCCCCAGCTTCCTCCTCCACAGGCATCCTTCAGCCCTAGTGGATCAGCTGAGAAGCCCGTTAAGTAAATCCCTGTGGCTATGATCTTTTGGAGAAAGTCCTACCCTTCCCACTCCTTCCTGGCCTGCTGTGCTGCCCTCTTGTTTGCCCACAGGGTCATCGGGGCCCGATAGTCTGGGCTTACGGTGGGGAGGGGAGTCCTCATGTGGGATGAGCACAGCCGTGACCTGGGTGGGGCCTCGCTCTCTGGGGGTTCCTCACCTGCAAATGGGGAGTGACAGCAGTGCCTCCCCATGGCTGAGACGTGGTCACCCGTGTGCCTGGCCAGGGGCTGGGAAATCCCAGGAGCTCAGGAAAGAGCAGTCACTGTGCTTGGGGACATCCCCAGCCAAGACCCACCCATGTCACCTGCACACCAGGCAGTCTGGGGCACATGGGGTCCCAGACAAGGCCCCCCTGTCTCCTGAGCAGTGAGCAAATCCCTGCTCGGATCCTTCTGCCAGTGACCCATTGTTGAGTGCAGGGACAGAGACTGTGACGGCTTCTGTGTGTGTGTGTGGCCCCAGGACCCAAACTGTGCCTGACCATGAGGAGGCACTGCCACAGTCGTGCAAGCGTCTCCCTGTTCTTTGCTTTGCTTGGGCGTCCCAGCACTTGGTGCTCTTTGTCCAAGTGGGGAACCCTGGCTCTGCCCTGGGTAGGTGCCCATGTCCTCTGCAGGGGATCCAGGTCCCTGGCATTGGGGCCATGGTGCAGGGAGAGTGGGGTGGGGAGGGCACAGTATGGGGAGTTCGCATGGTACACATTGCACATTTTGCAATGGGTAATCAAATTTTATTTTGGTAAAGCGACAATAAGGTGGAGACAAGGAACACAATGGGGAGGATTAAAGAGAAATACAGGAACACCGGGGTGGGGAAGGCCAGGTGTGGCACTGGGGCTGCAGCAGAAGGGACTTGCGGAGCTGGGGCTGAGGCCGGGGCCAGTGCTGTGTCTGGTGCTTCTGCAGTTTCCTTGGCTGCAGCTGGGGACACAGCTGTCCCCCACTCATCTTTGGAGGGCCATGACTGCTCCAGTGGGGGTGTTGCTTGAAGGTCATGGCTCTGCTCCACCCCAGCTGTCAGGTCAGGTTCCAGGCCCAGCCCTGAGCTTGCTTCCCATCTGGAACTGGCGAAGTCGTCGAGCCCCAGTGCCTCCACTGTGAGATGGGCATTTGCGGACCCCCTGGGCTCTATCTGGGGCTTTACCAAGATTAAGTGACTGAGGGGGGCCTCAGGTGGCTTGTGCGCCTGGGGGAATGCCCGATACATGAGCTTTGGAGTTGTGGGTGAGTTTGACCACTCCCCCACTACACACAGGTCATCAGTTTTAGTTGGCCTACGGTTGTCCGGGCTGCTTGCGATCCCCAGCCCGCTGTGCTGTGCCAGGTGCGAGGCTGCCCTGTCCTGGACCTGGGAGACAAGAGCAGAGAATGGCAGGTAAGAGGCAGTCCCTGGATCCCTCCACAGCCAGCAGCTCTGGGCCTCAGGCTGCCCCGCCTCTGAACTCCAGCCTCCCTCCTCCAAGGGTGAAGTGGACCATGTCCCCCCCACAGAGGCCTGTTGGCTCCCAGTGGGGTCTCAGTGGTGTCCTGGTCAGCAGAGAGCTGCCCTGGCTGCCAGACTCACCTTGGCCTTTTTCTGCTTGAAGCTCCAGGTGCGTCGGGGGTGAGGGCTGGCCCAGCGTCCCCACCACTGTGCGAGGCGCCCACAGCAGGGTTTCTTGGGGGCTGGGCTTGGGCATCGCGGGATACAACTCAGGAACATCTTCCTGCGAGACTCTATCCAGGTGAGCTGGCTTAGACTCAACTCTGGAATGTTGGGGTGGTTGCTGGGGCACCCAGTTCTCTAGGTCATCACCAACATGGTGAGGTCACGTCCTGTGGCTCCTAAGCTGAGCCCCCTCCTCACACAAGATATCCTCACATTCTCTGTGGGCTCTTCCTATTCTATTTCTACCCCTACGCCATGTGCCTGCTGTCCACAGTTGCAGCAATTCAGGCAGCACCTGCCATAGGGATGACTTGGGCCCAGACAGTGCCACAGCTGGGCTCGGACCTGCTCTATCGTCTTTGTACAAGTTTGAGCCTGCACAGTTCATCGTCCCTCTCTGGACATTCTCAGTCTCTCTTGTGGTTTCTGGGGATCATTCTAGCATGTGCTTGCAAGGGATGCCATCAGTTGTGTAGTGCCAAGGAACCCCTAGGCCTGCTGTCACCTGTACTGATGCACAAACACTCTAGATGTGAGATGGTTCCTAACCTGGGGTAGGGGTTTCTGGGAACTGGGAGTTAAGCAGTTGGTATTGTCAGATTGAAAAGTGCCAGGCAGCTTGTGGGTAACACTTGCTGCATCCTGGGTCAAGTTGTCCATCACCAAGATCTGAGCAATGGTGGCAGCAGCACATCCAGGAGCACTTAGTCTTGGGGACACTTACTCCACCTTATGGCACTCAGGTGTGGCTTGGGGCCTGGCCATGCTGAGCTGCTGATGCAGAGAGCTGAGAGGTGCACATTCACCTGCACTCCTGTTTGTCCAGCATCTCACGGGAATCAGGGCTGAGTCATTTGGGCAGTTTGATAAGTGTCTTAATTATCGTAGACAGGATTGCCAGGACCGGAAGTTCAGCATCAGTTCAGAATTGTGGAGGAGAAAGGGACAGCCTTTGCCAGGATGCCAGAATGCTGGTGTCAGGTTCTCCCCTGGGAGACAGAGGAGTGCAAAGGGAGAGGTCTGAGAACCCCTGAGCCTGGTCTCTGGGTTGCTGGGTCTGACCTTCCCTGCTTCACAGCATGGGGCCACTTTATTCAGGGTTAGAGACCTCTGCCTTCTATAGGATAATAAATGGAGAGGGAATTTCATGTTTCACAGTGGATGACTCTGATGTTAGCTTTGCCTTCCCAGCACTTGAGGTACATCTGGGATTTTATTCTTCTTGCTCCCCCATCCCTAGAGACTTTCATGTTTCACCAGTTTTGTGCACCTGTCCATAGGGGGAGGGGGAGACAGACACTTTTCTAAGCTGGAATCTGGACTTAAACCATCCCCCAACTGACTCTTGTAACTCGACATCCCAAAGAGGATAGGATAGACAGCAGGCTTCCTGGGACCCTGATGCCCAGGGAAGTCGGGTGGTTCTAGCAGGTGCTTCCTATCTCAGAGTGTCCAGAAAACCTAAACACCATCAATGCTAAGGCTATTCCTCTTTATTGGTGGACACTGCCTACTGTGTTTCGTGAGCCATAACATGGAGAACATCTGCATGGGTACAGAAAGATGTGGAGGCAGGCTGCTGGCTTGCTGCTGGCTCTCCTGTCTATTCCAGGGACCCCAATAGGATGAGGGACACTGACATGGGGGTGAGCCTGAAACCACATAGCGCCCATCCATATGTCAGCGGCTAATTTAGAGCCTCGCCCATGTGCCTACAGCAAGCAGGAAGGACACTGGTGAGGAGTGGCCCAGGTGTCCCCAGATGGGAAGGGCTCAGCTCCCCTCAACAGAAGAAGTCCGATGGGTTACTGGCTCTGCAGACGGCCTCTGGATAAAATCCAAATCCGGTGTGAAGCCCTTGGCTACCCTAGAGATAGGAGAAGCTGGAGAGATAGAGGATGGACACTGGAGTCACAAAATGAGCTGTTAAAGGAGTTTCAGTGAGAGCAGACAGAGAGAGGAGTGGAACCTCTGCCCTGTGGCCTGGTTTAAAAGTTCTGACTCCCACATTTCCTGAGCTCTGCATCCCACCTGGGAAGAGACTGGCTATGAAATCAGACGTTTCTGTGTCTAAGTCAGGATGGAGCAGCAGTGCATGTCTAAGGCATTGAAAGCTTCTCAGGGTGGGATTTGAAGCAGGAGGTTGGACACTGTGGGGTTACACACATCCCACATGGTGATGCTAAGGTTCCAGGCCTACCTCCACTCTGAGTCTAGCTTCTTGTGTATCTACGTAGTCCTGGGGAGGCAGCACATGCTGTCTCAACTGGTTGGGTCCCTGCCACCCATGTGTCAGACCTCAGTTGAGTGCCCAGCCCCAGTAGTGGGCATTGGAGGAGTGAATCAGCACATGTGTGATATCTGTGTCTATTTCCCAGAAATAATATTGTATAAAAGTCTGTAGAGGGAAATTTGAGATGTGGGCTGCTTATCATTGACAAAGTGGTAATGGATAGGTTTTGGTTTCCAAGATGGCTGGAGTCCCTAGGTTTTAGGCATAAGGTACAAATGACTTGGTGCTGGAGACCCCAAATGTCTGGAACCATCTAGTGAGACCCTACATATGAATCAGTTAGCCTTTGCCAAGAAATTCATGAGAAGTGCTTAAAGGTCTGTGCCAAGTGCCTTAGCCTGTGTTAGAGCAGCCACAAAAAGGAATTAGGATTCAGCCCCTTTGAATTATCTATGGAAGGCTCTTTCCCAATTGGGCTGGCCCCTTGACCTGCCAAAGGTGGGAAATGAGAACAAGACAACACAATGAGGACAGGTAGTGGCTGCTCTCATCTGATGTGCACCTCAGACCTAGTCTCACCAACACACTAGGCAGCCCACCCCCTTGATTGTAAACTGAGCTCTCTTCAGTAGCAGTTTAACCCCTTCTGGCAGGACCACACTTGGTGCTGTTTACCACTGATTGTTCTCCTAAACTTCTCCATGGGACTCCTTGCAGTCACCACAGCTGAGAGCAGGGAAGTTCCTTGTCTCTCCTGCACCCCGGATGGCTCCTTGGAGAGCCCCTGTCAGACCTCAGACTGCTGCTCTACAGGGCGCCACGTTGAATGTCAGGTGAGGATGCCTCTAGATGCCTGCCCTTTTGCCCACAGCCGGTGTCTGAAGTCCTTTGTTGATGTTGAGTAGGAGAGTGTCTCTCCACCAGCCTGGGCCATGTCCAGGATCAACAAGAAGTAGTTACAAAAGCATGACTTCGTGCTTTACCCCCCAGAGTGGGAGTGAAATGTCTCAGGGGGCACCTTGTAGCCAAATGTGTAGGATTTGGGCGAAGTGGGGAGGGGAGATGTGGAACAGGGGTAGGGATTGTAAACTGCCTAGAGCTTGTTTTCCTGATGTGCCCGGGGAGCAGAATTTTTTAGACTGAACTCAGAGTGGCTGGACTGCCACAAACCACCAACGAAGCAGCAAGAAGCCAGTTTGAGTCAGATCATGCAGACCTGAGCTAGGCTTTCCTCATGGCGCGGTGCAGTTCTCCGCCAGGGGTGGAGACGGCTGCCATTTGCTGAACTGAGGAAGTATGAAGATTGGCCCGGGCGGAAGCAGGAGGGGCCCTCCGGTCTGTGCCTGGCCTTGGCCATGCCCTTCGCCCTGCTGCAGAAGCCCAGGCAGACGATGGGGGTAGTTTCTTTGGGGGAACCCTTCTTCCCATGGCCTACTTTTCACTTCGTTATGTGGGGACGCCTGAAGCTAGTGGACCCTGACTGCGGACACCCGGATGTGCTGCCTCCCAGCGTCCCTGGCGAGTCCCGAATGGTCCACAGCAGCGGGTAACGGAAAGAGGAGGCCGCCATGACGATGGCGTCTTTTCCTCCCGCCGGGACGCCATTTTGGAAACATTTTCTTCATCAGGCGTGCTTGGAGGTATCCGAAGCTTTCCCCATAAATACTTTATTAGAAGTTTCTAACAGAGTAGACGGCATTTACAGCCCACACGCAGGCCCCCATGCTGGGGCACTCCCCGCACCCCTCCCCGCATGGCGCCCGCAGATGAGAGGCTGGGATGGCAGCTCCAGGTGGCTTCCTGGGCGGAGTCCCGCGGCTGCTGCTTGCATTGCTTTACCCTCAGCACCGCGGTCGATGGGGGCCTTTACACCCCAACCCGGCTTTGGGGACTGAGCTCTCGGTTCTGGATTCTTGAAACCGCTGCTGCCTGCGGGGTCCCTGTAAATGTCAGTAGCCAGCTGCCTGTGCTGATTCAGAAGTGGACGCCGAGGCAGACGGCCCCTGGCGGTCGAAAGCTGGTGGCGGACTCTGGGCTCAGGACCTTTATGTTGTGTGCCCAGGGAGCATGGGGTTGCTCTCTCCTGTGCTCCTGGGCGCTGGAAGCCTCTTTTGGCATCCCAGACGCCGAAACCGCCATAGCACCTTTGTGTCTGCAGTGCCCACGCCTGGCACCTGTCCCCGGCCTGCGCTGTCCCCGGACCACCGGTAAGTGCTGGCCGATCTGCTGGGCTCTTCCTGCACAGTTGCGGTGGGGCAGAGCATGCAGCCACTTCCCTTCAGGGATTGCAGGGCCTTCTTCTCTGCAGGCAGGTGTAGACCCCTGCTGGCTGGGAGAGAGGTCGGGTTTTCAGGTGCTGACCCCAGGCGCGTCTCTCCTGTGGCCAGGTGTGCAGGGAGGATTAAATGCCAGGCTGGCTGTCTGAGGAGGGGGCTGGGTCTAGAATGAGGCCCTGGGAGAGGGTGGGGCAAGGGCTCAGCCTGGATTCCAGAAAAGCTCTGGCCCCTCTCAGCAGCAAGCTGGATTGGATGGGCGTTGCCTACTTTAAGGGAAGAGCTGCTGTCCCCAGAGATGCGGGGACATGCAAGCGCAATGGGCACAGACGTTTAGAGTGGCAAGGAGGCTAATGGGTGATCTTCCATATTACAGAGGGTAAAACAAGGCTGTGGGACGGAGGTGCTGTGTCTGGGTGAGAGCAGAAAGAGGCCTGCACCTGGTGGGCGTCTGGCTCCCCCCACTGCAGAGCTGGGCATATGGGGCCTGGTTGGAAGGCCTCACTCCCCTCCTCTCTGGGCAGTGAGCTCTTCTTGGGAAGGGGCTGAATTAGAGCCTCTGAGTCCCACCTGCTCTGGGGCTTCTCCCTGGGAGGGTGGGGACGAGGGGAGGGGACTGCAGTTGGCTCTTTGTTTTTCTTAAAGCAATGGTAGACTTGACATTGAGTGCTGGGCCTGTTTTGAATGAATAGACACAATGAAGTGTATTTCCCTGTAGACATGGGACACTATGAAGTTGGTGATGAGCACTGACAGGGTGAGCTGACTGCCCTGATCTGGGGTCAGGCCATTTCATTCCCTTGGTGGCTCCTGACTCCCGGGGGAGGTCATGGTGTTGATGGTGGGCTTGGTGGAGGCCCTGGCTGCCCCTCAAGGGTGCGTGTCTGGATCACAGCTACCTCTTCCCCAGCGCCTTAGATTGAGCCCTCCACCTCCCGGTTATGGTACTAAGGGAGGGCCTTCTCAGTTTGGATCCTACATACAAAAAGGAACCCTCTTTTTTTTTTTTTTTTTTCCCAAGTCGCCTGGAGCAGTTTAGGGGACAGTGTGCCACAGCACAGCAAGTGGACTTGACTTTGGAGCCCCCTTGCTGATCTTTTCTCAGCCCTGACATTGCCCTACTTTCACTTTAGGGGTTCCCTTTCCTTTATAAGCCATGGAAGAGGGGGAGCAGGAAGCATCTTTATTGTCTGTGTCAGGGCTGTGGTTGAACAGCTCGTGACAGGCAGAGGAATGGTTGCCAACAGGGCCCAGCCCTTACAAGCTTTCATTTCTAAGTGAGGCTCTTTTGGTCTTATGGCTGAGGTCACGGTGGACTCAGTAGAGAATCCCAAAGTTTGTGTTGCTAGAGGCAGACATCTTTCTCTTTGTCATCTGGTAGGTGTGAATTGGTTCTTAGGTTCTCAGAGGCAGTTGAAACACGAGGGTGTTTTCCTCCTATAGGTTCCCGGTTACAACTTGCGGTTTCAGTCTCATCTGAGTTGAAGTCTTGGCCCAGACGTGTGCTGGCTGAGGTGTTGTTGGCAGGACATTTTACTATCTGTGCAGGTGAGTGGTGTTTTATTTGGGAATAAAAGTGGGGTGTGAGTATTGTGTTTTGTGGTTGGGACATCAGAGTATCAGAGTGCCTGGGTTTCATGTGTATCACCTTCCTGCTAAAGAGATCCTGGGGGGTTAAGGCTGAAATGCTTGGGTTACTGCCACCTGTCAGGGAGATCTGGGGTGACTTCCTGGTTCTTGGCTCGCCCCTGGTGCCATTGCATGTGTGTGGGGAGTGGATCAGTGGATGAATAAGCAACTGAACTCAAACACACGGAATGTTCCTTTGCCGGGAATCCATCTAATGGTTTCCACTGACTGAGGACTGAATGCTGGTGTTGTCTGGTTTGCTCTTTCCCTGATGGTGTTTTAGACAATATGCACAAGAGTCAGGGAAGACAGACTACAAACAAGAACTCAGTAGCTAGAGCCTGTTTATTCAGAGACAGACCTGAGGGCCCACTACTAGCGAGGGTCAGGACAAGTTCTGATAGAGACTGGGGCTTATCTAGCCTGAGTACTTTTGGATCAGGCTGGGCAGGGATTAGGCAGAGCTGAGATGGTTTGCCTTGGCTTTTTCAACCTTCCGGAGGGCTGGGGCTAATGGTTGAATTCTTGAGGCAGTGATGTGGCTGTAACACGGCATCACTTCTGCCCATGATGTTGCTCAAGGTCCTGTATTCCTATTCCCAGGAGAGAGAGAGAGATGTCCTATTGGCCACTTCCTGCTGATGCAGGGCTGTAGTCCAGAGTGACTGGAGAAGAAGATCAGTCTTGTGATGTTCCTGAGGGATGTCTTGGGATCTAGCAGTCACTGGTTCCTGTGAGCACTTTTGAAATGTGTAATTATATATCATAAGAATAAAGCACCGTGATTATGAGGAAAAAAGAAAGTAGTAGAAAAGTTACCCAGAGTGGCAAAGATGGCTAAGATGTGGCAAGGGTATTGTAATGGATTCTTACATTTCATTAGCATGCTTTTCAATGTGCTCAATAGCATCTCTCACAGCACCTGACTGACTGGTGTACAAGCCACACTCTTTTTTTTTTTTGACAGAGTGGACAGTGAGAGAGAGAGAAACACAGAGAGCAAGGTCTTCCTTTTCTATTGGTTCACCCCCCAATGGCCGCTGTGGCTGGCACACCACGCTGATCTGAAACCCGGAGCCAGGTGGTTCCTCCTGGTCTCCCATGTAGGTGCAGGGCCAAAGCACTTGAGCCATCCTCCACTGCACTTCTGGGCCACAGCAGAGAGCTGGAATGAAGGGGAGCAACCGGGACAGAATCCGGCGCCCCGACCAGGACCAGAACCTGGTGTGCGGGCGACGCAGGTGGAGGATTATCCTATTGAGCTATGGCGGCACTTGCCACAAGCCACACTCTTTACCCAGAGGCAAAGTCCTCCTTTTTTTGGAGGTGAGGACTCTAAATCCTCAGTGATTTTGCAGGACCACTGCTGACAAGAATCTACCTGGTCTTGGAAGTGAGACAGGTGTGGTGCTGGGTCATTTATGTTTTCTTTGAGAGTGAGACATAATTCTTTGTATTTCTTTGTCTTGTCTCCTGAAATTGCCAGTCTGGCTGCTCCTGGCCCAATCCCTGGCAAAAAACACCCAACGAGAAAGAAGGGTTGCTAAGTCCAAGTCACTCTTGACACGGGGTGTTCGAGGTCTGGGACATCAAGTCTGGTTGAGAGTATAGGAGAAAGGGTGAAATAGGAACGTGAGCGGACACGTGCCTGTCCAGTTCATGGGAAGACACTTGTACACCTGGATGCCACAGAGCAAGAACGCTTCTATGTATGGTCCCCCGCATGCTCACCAATGCATCCTTGGGCTGGGTCCTGACAGTGATGGTTCAGTTAGAGTGGGAGTATTTGCCTTTGTAGCTAATTTCGCTAACCTGTGGGAGTAGGGGAAGGAAATGGAGGAAACAGGGGAGGCTGGGAGAGTAATCGTCCAGTTGTAGAGTTTGTGGGACAGTGATCCTGCTTCATGGGAAAAGGGAAGGGAACACGTAGGATGCGTTTAAGGCTTGACCTCTCAGCGAAGCACAGAGAAAATGCCTTTGATAGGTATATAAGGTTGGTTGAATTCTTCCTGTTTTGGGGAAAGTACAGGGTATCCCTTCAGTCCTGTGGCCTTTGTCCAGATTGGCTGGGAAGTGGGAGAAGCGTGTACAGATCCACCTTGAAGTGATAGTGGGGTTATGTTCAGAGAAGAGACGAGAGGAAGCATTGATGAGAGCTGTGTAGAGGCTTTGGGAGGATGTGAGAGATATATAGATTTGGGGACCACAAAAAGGGCAGCAGGTTAGAAGCAGCAGACCGTAGTAAAGCATGCAACCCAGAAGAGATAAGAGAGTGCCGAGAGAAGTCTTCTGCTATGGGTCCATTCGGTTTGGCTGGTTTCTGACAAAGTCTAGGGCTAATATCACAACAAAAGATAGCAACGGGGTACAGTGCTTTAAAGTGAGAGATGTGAACAGAGGATAAAAAAGGGTATCTGAGTAGGGTGAATTCCTAGAGATTGCCCTGGAGCTGAGGGTCCAGGAGTTGGAAGAGTGGTCTGGCAGAGTTGGATAGCACTGCCTTACTTTTAGAATTACTTGGAGGAATCTGTCAAAGTGGCAGTGGCTTGTGGAGATGGTTTTAGCAGTAGTGGGGGAGCCGCGTCCACCTGAGAGTTGTGGGACCTGTGGGGTAGGGTGTGCTGTAGAGGTGTTACTAATTGTAATGGAGTGAATGTACAGTGTGGGTGTCTCCCGAGTTTAGCAGTGGTGGTGGTACGTTGTGAGTGTTTGCTGTCACGCATTTCGACAGGGCTCAAGGGTGCATTGTCGGAGCATAGGGAAGAAGGAACACACGGACATGACACTGTCTTCCCAATGAAAGGCTTTTTATTGCTCACTCCAATTCACACTAGGGCTTTCCCACTGCAAACCAATCTCTGTAGTTATGTTCATTACTCCACATATCATACCACACACCTGGCATCAAAGCAATCTCAAAGGCATTCCAACTGTAATAATGTAAGTACAGCGAAGCAGAAGACATTCTTAATCATAGGGTCGAGGCACATTCCTTCCTATTACATATGGCTAATATCATTATAAATGCTGTGTTCTTAAGGTTCCTATCACATTCCCAAAAAGTGAAAGTTCAAAGTCCAGAGTCCAGAGTCTCATTACCACTCGGAGAGATGGATCTCAGAACAGTCACTTACAGGCATGCAGTAGTGGGATGGCTGTCACTCTGAGCAGAAGCCCGGAGTTCCCAGGGGAACGACAAGGTAAGGAGTTGGAGAGGTCCCCTGCTGAGAGGTCTGGTCCAGCTGTGTGGTCAGGCCAGGCAACAGGCTGATAAGGGGTCCAGGCGAGGCGGTGGCTCCACTGGAGTTTGGTCCTGTAGTCACCGTGTGTTGCTTAGCAAGGGGGCTAGTGAGCTGGCTCTTAAGCTCCATGTGTAAGGAGATCCAGAGGTTCGCATGTACTGGGCCCTTGATCGTTTGTCATCTTGTGCCATTACAGATCCATGTGTAACAGGCTGCCTCTTCAGCTCTGAATGTGTGAAGATCCAGAGGTTCACAGACACCGGGACCATGATCCTTTTATCCTTGTCATTTTGAAGGGAGAGTCTCCAGGAGCTGTAGGGTGTCACCAATCAGTTGTGCTCCCTCTGGGAGTTTCCCGGGGTGCCACCAATCTGTTGTTTAGGACAGGGTGTATCTGCAGTATTCCTGGGGTGCAGCCAATCCCTGTGTGAGTAGGAAGGTAACTTGAGGTTGTCGTCTGTAGCGTACAGGTTATCAGACTGCCCAGGGATGTCTGTTCAGTCTGATGAGGAGCATCTTTCTGGCAAGCGCTGAGCTTGACATAGGTGATGTCATCAGCTTCTGGCTTAGCATAAATAACTCCATTTTTATTTCCTATTTTTGCTTGTTTGTGGGCAGCAGTGAGCTATAACTCTTTTTTGGGCTACCAGTGGCTTTCTCCACAGTCCAGAGCCTTTTAATCATTGGGTGGGCAGAGATCTGTGACTCATTTTTGGGAGTCCTGTGGGATTCTCCTCAGTGGTATCCATAGCACTTCATTAGAGTCTGTTGCATTTCTGGGTGAGTGCTTACCTCAGGGCCAGGCCGTGCTAAGGGCTGTGCTGGTGTTTGCTGTGGGTGTTTTGCCCGAGTGAGGCAGAGGAGGTGGCAGGGCCTCTGGGGACAGCAAGCCCGGTGTTGGGGAGAGGAAGAGGAGGGATCTCTGCTGAAGGGTGGGAGCACTCATGGGGGAAGCAGTCATGCTAGGTAGGAACACTGGGCCAGAGAGTGGTGGTCTTGGGAGCTGGGCTGAAGGGAGTCCACCCAGCATGCTGGGAGTCTGAGCAGGGGTCAGCTGGCATTGAGTGCAGTAGGACGCTGGTCAGGTGTGTGTGAGTGGGGAGCAGGGCTTCACTTGGGAGCCTTGGCTCAGAATCTTCCCCCTTCAGACCTCAGACTCTTTCCAGTCTCACCAGGACAGTCACTCCCCAGTCTCCACTGCGGTCTGTGTCTGCAGCCCACAGCAGGAGATTTGGGGGTCACCACCGAATAACTTGTGGGCCCTGGGTCACTAGGCTCAGTTCCTGTAGAGAGCAAGCCCCCAGCGGATCAGGAGCTGTGTCTCATGTGTGGACACTCAGGGCTGCTGCCTCCTGAGTCTCTTGCTGTTGTCCTGTGGGCCATTTGGCATCTGTAGCCTGGATGTGGAGACATGGGAATGACCTGAATGTGCAGGGTTTGTGGAGAGAATGACGGGAGGAACAGACTCAAGTTTTTGGTCTTCGTCCACCTGCTGTATTACTTAGGGAAGGAGACGTGTCGATATTAACCAAAGTACAGGGTGCACTTGGAGGAGCTAGGCCATGGAGGGAGCTGGCTGAGGAGGCAGGGCTGGGTGTGTGGGAGTGGCAGGGGGTGAGTTCTGGGTGTGCATCCTGTTGGCAATGCGTGACTTCCTCTCATAGGGTTCTCCCTGAA